ATGCGTACTTGAACCAGTGTTCATTTCTTGTTTAATCTACGGAAGAGGATTAGGGCCACATTATTATTTTTTTGGGAGGATTTGAAAAAAATATGTTTTTTTTTTGTTCTGAGAAAAAAGTCAGAATTTTGAGAATTCTGAGATTAAAGTCAGAATTCTGACTTTCACAACAAAACATCGTTTTTTTTTTCAAATCCTCCCAAAAAAAAATTATGTGGCCCTAATCCTCTTCCGTAAAAAGGGGTTGCAATATGATACTTGTGTTTATTTGGTGTCAAGTAATAAAATAAAAACAAAGGTATAAGCTAATAGTTTGTAACGCAGAGTCAACTAAATATTTGTATTCATGGTTTTTTGTTGGCTGATCTGATTTTCAATTTGTATTTGCTTCTATTAACTATTTTTGAACAAATACACATCAAATGTTCGTAACATTTCTCAAATAGATATTTGGAATAGCATAATCATTAATTTAAGAGAATAATCAAAGACAAATAATAAGTCCATACTGTGTAAAACTATGTATTTATTTGTCGGTTACTTTCCATGTCACTGAACGCACAACATAAACCCTCATGTGGTGTACAATGAAATGCACAGAAACCACACGTGATCACCAATCAAGCTGAAAATCGTCAAACAAATTGTGCCATAATATGAAAAAGTTAAAAAAGGAAATTCAAGCAAAACTGTATTTTTATTTTCTCCTCTATATTTGAATATGTGACTCACCTTGCATCGTAGGTGGAGAGCACTATAGTGATGGTGTACGTCACCACCCTCTTCCTGTTGTAGTGACTGACCCCAGTGTACTTGCCAGGGACGCCAAACAGCAGGTCTAAAACACACACAACAACATATGTTATCAAACACAGTGCAGCATGTATTCACAAAATGTTCCCTTTTTAAGTCCCTGACAAACAGAGAGTCAGATGGCTGAATATTCACACTGCAGCCTCTGAATGATCTGGAGTCACTCATTAGTCGACAGTTTGGCTGACCGTCAGGGTGAAGCAGAGTTTCAGCCCGACTGTCTCCGAGTGCAGACCCAGAAAAAGCTGCCACCTTTAAATCACCTGAGCTGAAAGGTGAGATGTTCACCATGTCAGTGAGTTTAAAAGGGGCCCTATGAGGCTCATTTTCAGGTAGTGATGGGAATTATGGCTCTTTGAAGGGACCCATATCGTATGGCTCCGTTCCTTTCCGAGAGCCGTTCGAGCCGCGAAATAATCACCAGGATAATGATTGACTGTATCGCCAGATATCTACTTTTACTCACAGAAAAATGTACATCTCTCAGCCAGCCAAACAACTACTCAAGCAGCATGCGTCATGCCATCATCTATGGCACATTTGCATTCAGGAAAGCAAGTTCCCGTAAAAGGCAAGTGGATTTATGGCAGGCATTAAACCAATGATAAAAAGAACGGCTCTCACCAAGTACGACTTGTTTTTTTTAAAGAGTCCTCTCCTGCTGATGTTCAGGTGTATATCAGTATGTAGTGTCTCTACTTTAAAGAGTCCTCTCCTGCTGATGTCAAGGTGTATACAGGGGATAGGAGTATGTGGTGCTCTAGCTTTAAAGGTTCCTCCGTGCTGATGTTCAGGTGTATTATCAGTAGAGTGTCTCTAACTTTAAAGAAGCTCTCGCTGCTGATGGTCCAAGGTGTATATCAGATGTAGTCTCTAATTTAAAGAGTCCTGCTCCTGGCGATGTTCAGGTGTATATCAGTATGTAGGTGTCTCTAGCTTTAAAGAGTGCCTCTCCTGCTGAAGGTTCGGTGTATACAGTATGTAGTGTGAATCTACATTAAAGAGTCTGCTCCCTGCTGATGTCAGGTGTATATCAGTATGTAGGCTGCTAGCTTTAAAGAGTCCTCTCCCCTGGCTGTGTTCAGGTGTAATCAGTATGTATGTGGTCTCTACTCTTAAAAGAGTCCCTCCCTGCTGATGTTCAGGGTGTTATATGCGAGTATGTAGTGTCGCTACTTAAAGAAGTCTCTCCGCTGATGTTGCAGGTGTATATCAGTAGTGTAGTGTCTTACTTAAGAAGTCGCTCCTCCCTGCTGATGTTCAGGTGTATATCAGTATGTAGTGTTCTAACTTTAAAGAGTCCTCCTCCCCTGCGATGTTCAGGTGTATAGTCAGTATATAGTGTTCTACTTTAAAGAGTCCTCTCCTGCTGATGTTCAGGTGTATCATCCGATGTATGTATGTCCTAAGCGGCGACATGCCCTGGTTTTATATTGAAAAAAAAAAAAAAAAAAAAAAAAAAAAGCTCTTTATTGTTGCCATACTGGGCTTGTGCTGCAGCAGCCTGCTTTTTACCCTCTGTCTGAACCAGAGGCCCAGTCTGCCTCTGATTGGTTAGACTTTGGCGGCCGTTGTTGTGATTGGTCAAACTGTGAGATGTCTCAGCCCCTTAGCCTAATCTTGAAAAACATGCTGGAGGGGAACTTTTGGATTTTAGCCATGGCACAAAAAACCTATATAACTCACTAACAGGAAGGGAAAACCCAAATGAGATAAGATTTTAAAGCGCGCTTTTAAAAAACAGCCCAAATTAAGATGCATTGTGGGTAATGTACTCCCTCCTCTTCGCTCCTCCTCTTCGCTCACCTCGCAGCGTGGACGAGGTGCTGAGGCGCTTTGGGTTCGTGTTTCTGGATCGCTTCAGGAGGTCGGGGTCCGAGTCGAACAAGGCCCCCTCCTGCTTGGTTCTGCCAGTTAGTTGCCGGGAAACGGCAACAGGGCATGGCTCCGGCAGCAGCGACTGCATCCGCCGGTAAGCCCTGGAAAAAATCTGTCACCTGGAGAGCGAGCGACTCCAGACTGCGAACCCCAGGCTGAGGGGAGACAGAGAGATTCTTTATTGGGCTATTGAGATGGAATGTCTTTATAAGAAATAAGACAAGTCGCTTTCTTCTTGTCTCCTAATTTATTGTACACCACACGCATGTTCCTTTTTAGCTGCTGCAACAGAAACATTTTTTTTTTTTTGCCAAACTTTGGGAAATTTCAATAAAAGTAGCTTCTTTGCTTTTCTTAAGAGACAGAGAAGAGACAGAGGGGAGACGAGGGAGAGGAGCAGGAGTGTGATCTTCAAACCAAAAGAGGCCTCAGTATTTAAGTATTTTGGCAGAGGAGGTAACTTAGTCCAGCAACTGCATAATAACAAGACAAGGGCAGCAGCAATTTAACTCATTACACCTCTGGTGTGCATGTTCTTATTTCAATGGACTTAAATGAACTGTAATGTACAACTTCCAGCAAAAAACAAGAAGGTGTAGCAAATCGAACTAAAGTGGCTTTACAGGTGAAAGACAGCCCATGGAATGCGCTAAAAAAGAGGGGCAGTTGGAACATGATTGACTTTAACTTTATCAGTTGACTTT